TCAAAAAGCAGCCGAAAAATCTCTAACCAGCCCCTCAGTCTTCTCTGGCTGCCCTTTCAATGTCCCTCCCATGCCAGTGAACAAAGGGGAGGGTCCCATGTCAGGCCCCCAGTTGCCTGCTCTCAGCATCCTAATCCTTGAGAACTGGTGAGGAGAAAGGCCTGTGGAGCTGGTCAATCACCCTCACCTTTCATCCCCTCCCTCTGCTGTGCGCTCAGAGGGCTTCAGGTATTAGAAAACCTCGGGGTCAGCAGCCACAGGAATCTTGGGGTTTACTGCGGGATAAAAGGCACCGAGGGATCATTCCCACGGTCACTAACAGGCCCACCCCCAGGGCAGCCTGCATAGACTGTGCTTTCCCACCACTCCAGCCTGGCTCGCTCCCAGAGACTGACAGGAAGCTATGATGGCAGCCCAGGTAGCCTCAGCCTCTAGCTAATGTCTCTCTCTGTGCCTGCAGGCATGAACTGCAGGTCCTACCCAGACCTTCATGCTAACCTCGGCTGTTTTGCCAGAGGAGCCCCTCCTATCAGGAAAACTGGCCTTGACTCCTGGTTCCTCTCCAAGTTTATCACCCAGGGAGCAAGAGTCTATGCTTTAAACCTGAGGATTTATGCAAGTGTCTTTTAGTGTGGTCATCTGCTAAGAATGAGTGGGTTGGGGATAAGCCTGTATGCTCCAGTCTGTGCTGATCTCAAGGGAACTACTGCACTGACAAAAGTGAACGGTAAGTACAACACCTCCAGGAAGTACAAAGGCCTTAGAGATCACGTATACAAAGTCACTGTGTACGTGTGAACACACAAGGACCAAATATCACACAGAAGGATATGTGATATAACCAGTTAAGTTCCTATTGTCCTCCCCCTTCCCCGCCTCCCTTTCTTTCTAAGTGCTGGATGTGATCCATTAAATTCATTACAGTCCACTAATGGGTTACTGCAGTTTTTGAAGACTTCAATCAATATTTTCATTTTCAAGCTGACAAAATTAGGGTCCCAAAGATTTTATGACGATCACAGCAGAGCTAGAACTGTAAACCTAAAGGTTCCTTACAATAAAAGAGGCCCCCAAGTTTTCTGGGGAGCCCAAACTCCCTTTCCACTCCAGAAGTCTTGGGAGCACATGGCAAGAGAGCAGGGTGTGTGAAGTTGTGTTTCAAGACATTGCTGATAGGGACAGCAGGATTCCCTCAGAGGAGAGTGTGGCTGGGGGAACAGAACTGAAAACCACCCAGGAAGCAGCCAGTGAGGTTTGGAGCCCCTCCCATGGGCATGTTTTTATCAGCTGGGGACTTTGCACCATGAAACCTTCAATTTTTTCTTTCCTGGACTACTGCTCCAGGTCCATATCCTTTAGCAATCCACTTTCTCCCCTGGTTACTAATTTTTTCTGTAATCATTCTTTGCTATTTGTTATTATTGTTGGGTATGTGTGTGTGGGGGGGCATACAGGGCACAGAATGTACGTGGAGATCAGTTTGGGGGACTTGGATCTCTCCTTCTACCTTGTTTTGAGGCAGGGTCTCTCTTGTTTCTGCCATGCTGTGAACTCCTGTCTGCCTCTCACCTTGTCGTAGGAGTGCTGGGATTACAAGGTGTGTGCTGCTGCTGCATCTGGCTGTTTTTACATGGGTTCCAGGAATCAAACTTGGGTTTTCAGGCTTGTGTGGCCTTTCTTGCTGTTTTTTTTTTTTTTCCCCCTCTACCCTTTCATTGTAGTTCCAGTTTCTATTTTTCTGTAAATAATTCACTCTTCCCTGTCTGAATCATGACTTTAGAAATAAGCATGAGGTAGGCAACCCAGAGAATCTAGTTCCCACCAACATCCCCAAAGTTAGCCATGTTAGACAGGCTTAGAAATGCTGTTTGTCAAGGTATAAGAATTACTGCAAGGCTTTCCTGATAAGGGAGAATATCGATCAAAGGTCCAACCCCAGCTTTAAGGCCTAATAACCACAACAATGACCGGCACAGCAGCAATTATACTGGGGCAATAGTGGTACTTTTATCTTCGGGGTAATCAACAGCTACCTAATTGGACCTAAAGCTCACTCAATGGGAGGAAATTCATGTGTGGTACTGTAAATATAGCCAAATACACATGGCTGGAGCAGTCATAGATCTCAGAGAAAACCCCAAGCCTGTCACATCTCTAGACAAATGTAATTTCTTACTATATGCTAAATATGGATCCCTATATTTATAGACAAATGTGCCAGTCACCACTCATCAAAGAAGCTGCTTTTGCAACAAATGGAGACTATTACAGAGCTCTACAACCGGTCACACACAGAGAATAAGTATCTGTGAAATGCCCCATCCTAAGTGACACATCTGCAATGAACCTCTATACCTAAGACACATGGAACATAATGGAACAAGAGGTAGAGAGAATACTTATTCATCTCTCAACTCTCATCAGCGAAGCTCCCTCACTCAACAGAGGGCAAAGAACCCAGGGCTCAGGGACCACTGCAGAAAAGGGGGTGGAAAGATTGTAAGAGCCAGGGAAAGAGGTGCATGACTATATGGAAATGGTCTTACAGGATCCTGGGACCTTGCTCATATGAAAGTACAGTAAACGTGGCAGCATTCACAAGACCCATGCAAACTCAAGCAGACAGAAACCTAGCATAGAACGGTGGAAATGGGCAGCAGGCCCCAGTCTTAGCCTAAGAACTACTGGGAGCTGACTACTACTGGGTGAGGAAGAGCTGATCTTCTTTAAGGGAGTGACTCTAGATAGCCTGACTAGACCCTAGTGAATGAACTTGCACTGCAGGACCTCAGGGAACACCAACTTGACTCGATAGGCCTTAACATAAATGAAAGAATGCATGAAATCCAGTGGTGGGAGGGGTATGGGAGGGTGCTGATGGGCAAGAGGGTATAAAGAGGATTAAGATGTTGAGTATGAAATACACAAAAATTCAATAAAAATATATTTAGAAAAAAAATCACTGCAAGGCTTTCATATACATGCCATCTGGGCAGAACTGATTCTTTTCTTCTTGAGTTTATCTTACAATCTTCCTTAGAATTTTTGAAATCTTCATCTAAGTTTTCTATTTACTAGACTTCTAATCTTTTAAGACAGCTTCTAAAAATGAAGAGCTCAAAGCTCACACTGTGCACTGCGTCGATATAAACCCAGCTTTCTGATTGCTTATTAGTTATACGCCCTTAGAGAATATGTAACAAAGGGGCCTGCTGTTTGCTTTCCTTAATCTGGTCTTAAAATCTCTGCTTCTTTGTCAGAAAACAATATTTGTAATTGTAAAAAAAATATTTATCAAGAAACGTGGCTAGCATAAGTCAAAGGCTAAGAGTCAAAGGTCAGGAGTTCTTACCCCAGATTTCTGTGGACCTGAGAGTCTCCTGCTGTGGAGCTCAGCCACACCACACAAACACACTGCTTGTGAGTTCATTAAGAAGTGGACATTTTTGAAGGGGAAGGAGAGGCGGGGCTGCAGCCTCCTCCTCAGGCCGCAGCATGAGCTCTCTCCAGCCTGCCCCTTCTGTGTCTGCAGTGCAGTGATCTCCATGGGGACACTGCAGGGACTGCCCTGTCTCACAAACCTGGGAAAAAACCTGAGCTTATAAATTCCTGCAGGGCAAACATTCCTCCCCCACACAGCAATGCAACATCTCCTTTAAGGTCCAGGTCAGATATTCCTCTATGCATCCCTGTGGGTGGGATCTCTGGCCTGACAGTGGGGGACAGATAGGTATCTTGAGCACTTCACTAAGTCTTGAATTCACCCATTCATATTAATTGTTTTCTGGAAAACTTGGCCATGTCAAAAGTCTTTCCTAACCAGAGTATCCAGTGTCTGGGACTGAACACCCACTGTTCATCAGAGAGTTACAGGTTGTGGCCTTGTGGAGTTCTGCTTTGAGCAAGAACCTGACTCTTCTGCATCCTCCCAGGCCCATGTCACAAGGTACAGGCCAGTAGAAGTGCCTGTTGGGACCTGAACACAGGGAAATGGGGACTCTGGAAGCCCTACACAGTGCCCCCCAGGTTGCCAGCTCAGAGGGAGCTGCAGCTTGAAAAGGAAGGGCAGTGCCACACTGGCATCTACGACTTTGTGCACATTTATTCCGCAGGACCTGCAAAGATAGGTGGTGTCAAGTTCTCACAAACCAAGTAATAGAAGTGTTCCCAGCATTTTCCTCAGACAAATGCCTATTTTAAAGGAGATGACCATTTGGTTATTTAAAATATCATTATTAGGACTGAGGAGATGACTTAGTGGTTAAAATGCTTGCTGGGCAAGCAAGAGGACTAGGGTTCCGTTTCTCAGAACCCACGTAAGGAGCTGGTGGTTGTGGTGGTGCATCTGCACTCCTACATAGGAGGCAGAGACAGGAGATTCCTGATGCATGCTGGTTGGCTAGACTGTCTGAAAGGGGGAACTCTGGGTTCAGCGAGTGACCCAGCCTCAATATGAAAGTTGGGAAATGATTGAGGAAGACACCTGTCAATCTCCAGCTTCCACATACATGGGCACCTGCCCATATACATGCAAATATTCATGTACATTACACATATACAAATGCAAAAAAACATTATCAATAACCTTTTTTATTGGTTGTTCCATTCTGTTTTTTTTTTTTTTTTTTTTATTTTTTTTTTTTTTTTTTTATTTTTTTTTTTTTTTTTTTATTTTTTTTTTTTTTTTTTTCTTATCATGACGTAGATTAAATGCAGGGCCCTGAACCCAATCTAGGCAAGCACTCTGCCACTGAGCCACATCCCCAGACCTTCAATTCTGTTATTAAATTCTGTAGTTCTTCCTCTCTCCTGTCAAATTCTTATCGTAATTGCCAAATCTCTTGATCTTATCAGGGTAAAATTAATGTCCCTGGCTAATTCACCTTGGCCTTTGGGTCTGTCCTGAAATAGCATCTAAAAGGACCCGAGCAGTGCTTACAAGTAGCTATGGACAGCCTTGAGTAAAGAAACTTAACGGCTTCACCTAAGGAGCTTACCTTGAAGAACCAGGCCTTCCTCCTTGATGGTGTAGACAAATGAAGTGAAGGGAGCCAGAGGGGACTTGCCAACAAGGATCTGAAGAGAAAACACATTTTTCTAATTAGACAAAGGCTCAGGGTGAGCCTCTACTTACTCCCCTTTTCTACTCTGACAGAGTGGTAACGTGATTACAATGCATCATATTTATTATTAAATATATTTTATAACCACATGTTCAAATGAGTATTATCATTTCAAAGTGGTCACCTAGGAAAGACATTTATTCCAAACATTCTGCCACTAAATACCTTATCTTTGAACTAATTCTTCCAGAAATAAGATTCATTATTTTAATGTCACATGATTAAATAGCTACCTCTCTACTCAAAAAGCTACTCTGATTCTCTAATTTTGTCCATAAACCTAACAATTAAAAATTCAAAGCTACCCTTAAAATTATTTACCATCTTTGCAAATGTTCAGAATAACTTGCTGAGGGCAAACAACAGTAAGTTGTTTCAACAGCGCTACTTCCTGACCAAGTTTACTCCTACCCTTTACCACGTGACTGTATTTTCTCTAACAAGGCATGGTACATTTTTGCTGGCTTCTTATAGTGGGTTTGGCCACATGGTTTGTTTTGGCTTATGCCAGTTCCCAGTCTAGGACTCAAGAAGCCTCAAGTATTTCCATTTGTTCTTTTATGCTCCTGCCATAGCCATAGGAGAATATGTTCAAATTAGTCTGTTATCTCAGGAGAGTAAGAGATGTCTGGAACAGAGTTGGCCAGCCAGGCTCAGGCCCCAGGATACCCACATGCATGAGAATTAAACACCGATGCACACTTCTGAACTTTTGGTGGTGTCATCATGAAGCATTATTGAACACGAGCTGACCTATATGCCAGCAAAAACAAAGTATCAGAAATGTTTGGAGCAATGACATTCTCCTAAGACAAATATCTCTTGTAAAGAAGGTGGCTATTGGGTTAAAAAAAAATGATTTGCTTAGTGTAGTTTCATTTTGCAAAAAACATGTATGTATGTATGTTTTCTGAGTAAAAGAAACTTAACGGCTTCATCTAAGCCTCTTACCTTGAAGAACCAGGCCATATAAAAATATATGGAAGGATATATATGAAGTGCTTCTCAGTGGGTGGGTAGCTTGGTTATCTAAAATTTAAATTAATCAATGTGCATTTGTTTTTGAATAAAATAAGTTTCAGGTTGGTGAGATGGCTCAGCAGGTAAAGGTGCTTGCTTCCAAGCCTATGAGGACCTGTTTGATCCCTAGAACCCACACGATGGAATGAGAGCATCAACTTCATGCTGTCCTCTGACTTCCACATATATGCCTTAGTACTTGTGAACTCCCCCCCACACACACAACAATTTTTAAAAGTTTTATTTGAAAGTTATGAGAAGACTTAGTGGATTATTTTATTGTAATATTTCTATTCAGTGGAGATGAATATGCATCCTATTTTATAAACAAAAATAACATTGTCAAAAATAACGACAGTTTGGCACAGAATCACGTTGGTAATCAGAGAAGCAAAGAAAGAAGGAAGAAGTAATTCCAAACAACAAAAAAGCTTACACATGATATTTCATTCTTCTCAGTTCAACATTTACTGCCTGTGAATTATATAAGCCGGTCACAGGTTTTGGTGACAGGGTTTGAATCTCGCCCTTGGTCAGCTAGGTGTTTAGTCATTAGTCATTCCGCTTTGTCTGTTTGTTAAGAAACTTCTCCAGTTTCCATCTTTCTTTGCCTCTTTTGCAGCTAAGTGTGGCCATATGTTCAAGCTTTGATGAACAGAACATGAGTGAAAATGACAGGTAAAACTTCCAGATTCTGTTTTCATAAGAAATTGTATGTCCTTCCCTTTTCAGTTCCTCCTTCCCAAGAGCAGGAGCAAATTCGAACCACAAAGACACAGATGTCCTGGTGTTGGTGAAGCCACAAGTAAGCAGAATCCTGAGTGACCTGAAAGTCAGTGCTTCCCAGCCAGGTTACCTTGTCTCTACCTTGTATTTCAAATGCATGTTACTGTGCTACAGTCTAAACCACCACTACCATGACTCCAGACAGCCTGAACATTTTGATTCTTAGTTTTCTCATATCTGAAACAAAGATAAAAACACCTGCCAAATGGATTATTATAAGGATTAAATTAAGAATAAAAATGCTTGTCACTGTGTCCAACACATAGTGAGTGCAAAATAACAGGAACTCAGTCCATTACACGTGCTTCCCAAATACCCTACAACTCTTACCAAGAAACAATATACATTGCTTTTAACTAGAGGGAAGGCATCAATTGAATCTTGATAATTTTTATAGCTGCTCTAAAGTAATTTGATATACTTGCTCATCATTTTTCAGAACCAGTGAGAGGAGGATTAGGTAAAAGTTTTGTTGTTGCTGGGTTTTTTTTTTTTTTTTGATACAGGGTCTCCCTGTAGCCCCAGAAGGCCTGAAACTCGCTATGTAGACCAGGCTAGCTTTGCTATCACTTAGATCTGCCTGCCTCTGCCTCTGCCTCCTGAGCGCTGGGATTAAAGGCGTGTACTACCAAGCTAATTCATGTGGAGTTTAAGGATGCTCATTCAGTAGAGGAATGGCAGGGTGGAAGAAAGGATAGTGCTTTTCAAACTTCAATGTAATCTCCTTTGGGGCCTGTGGACATACAGATTCTGATTCGTAGGTTTTGAACGGTATCTGAGAAGGATAGAGGGTCTTTAGCAGGCCCCAAGAGATGCTGATGCTGTGGCCCATCAATCAGTGTGAATGGCCTAACTGAAAAGTCTAAGATAAAAAAGCAAGAGATGGGAGGCCTGGGGCCAGTTAGGAGGCTCCTGGAGTAAATTAGGGATGAGAGTAGGCTTAAACCACAATTGTGTCAGGAAAAAAAAGGAAGGAAAAGGGAATGAATAAGGAACTATAAACACTTTAGATCAAATAGTAATAAAAAGAAACTATGCAAAGCTCAAATCTATGATTTTTTTTCTTTTTTATTGACAAATCTAGGATCTTTATTGACTAGGTATAACAACTAGACACAAAACCAAAAGGGTATAAATAGGAATAAATGAAGTATCATAGTATATTTTTGAACTTGATGAAAGAATGCCTTTTAACCTAGGGCCCTTGGTGCCATGTCTGCTATCTTAGGACCAAGTCCTGAGCCTGAACCAAAGGGATCTTGAATGTAGAGGGACCTCCTTGCAGGGAGTCTCAGGGTTTGGACAGGTCACTAATTAAAAATTTTTGATTTATTTATTTTTATTTTATGCATATGAGTGTTATGCCTGCATGTGTGTAAATGCACCCATGTTGTGCAGTGCCTGCAGAGGTCAGAAGAGGGCATTGGATTCCTTGGAACTGGGCTTACAGACAGTTGTTAGTCATCATGTGGGTACTGGGATTCAATCCCAGATCTTCTGCAAGAACGGTCAGTTCTCTGAACCACTGAATCATCTCTCCAGCCCCACAGGCCACTAGTTAAAATTTTCTGTTTTCTAGAAGAAGTTCAGATGGGTCATCAGAAGGATGACCTGTGTGCAGTTAGCAACAGGCAGTGATAAAGAACTCCAGATGAAGCCCATTTCATTTTTTAATGGGGGGGGGCAGGATATATAACATTCAGATTGATAGATCTGAGCTCTATCGCCAACAAATAATTGTAGCAAAAAATATGTGATAAACTTTCTTGTTAGCCTACTGGATAAAGTGAGGACAGCTGATCACATTAAGTGGATTTGTAACTGATCAAATGATCAGTAGCAATCGGTGAGGGGCAGCAACCCCTTGCAGGACAGGCTGAGTTCTATTCTTGGTCCTGTCATGGTTGACATTTTTAAGAGTTAGATGAACACTACTGCATTCAACCACACCCCACAACACTCACGGTGCCCAACAGGGAAGAAAATGATGAAAATTGCTGCCTTAACACACCTTACATTCTAAAGGAGGCTAAAGATAACAAAATGAGTAAGTGTGGTATGCTAGGTGATTGTGTGTGCTATGGAGGAGAGAAGCAGAGAAAGAATATACGAAGTCCATTGTGAGTGGGAAGGAGGTCAGTTTTAATTAGAGGGGCACAAGAAGAACTCACTAAAGAGGGCTGAGGATCATGTAACAATGCATTGAGAGGGGATGCTGAATTGATGGGAAGGTAACAGAAAACAAATTTAGAGGGGAATTCACAGATTAGATCAGACAACCATGATGATCAAATGAATCTCAGTTTGGTTAAAATGCGTGGTCAAATCCCAAGCATCTTTTAGTAAAAGGTGAAAAATGTATGTGATATTAAGAGGAAATCAGAGAATCCCACATCTTGCAGGATGAAGTTTTATCGAAATAAATGTAATGCCTTGTATTTGAGAACAGAGTACCAACTACAGGTTACAGAACAGGAGAGATGTACATTAGCATTCAGAAAATGGATTAGGAATATTAGTCAAACGAATCAGATGTGAGATGTGCTTCTCAAAAATCTAGCATGGTGTCAGGCTGTAATATGGATGGAAGCTCAGTGTCTGCAACAAGGGATGGTAGTGAGATCATCCTCTGTCTTCTGGACTTCGCAAACATGCCTAATGAATGCAGTGTGTTCAGATGGGGCCCCAAAATTCAAAAGAGAGACTGATAAGTGAGAGACCAACTAAAGGAGATCTGACAAGGTGGTTGCCTTCTATGTGTGCTGGGGGTGGGGAGGTGGTGGTGGGGGCGAGAGATGCACTCACCCATGTTTGCATTTGTGGAGGGCAGAGTTAGAAGACTTTGTCTTCCTTGATTGCTCTCCACTGTAGTTTTTGAGACAGAGTCTCTTACTAACCCGGATCTTGCTGTTTTGGGTAGACTGACTGGCCAGAAGCACCTGAGATCCTCCTGTCTCTGATCCTGTCCCTAGAACTGGGGTTACAGGCACACATTGCCACTTCTGGCTTTTTATATGGGTCCTGGGGATCTGAACTCAGGCACTCATCTTGCCCAAGTATTTTACCCACTGAGCTGTCTCCTCAGCAGAAACTATCCTCTTCTAAAGAAACAACTCCATAGCTGATAACATAGGCTGTTTTATTTTA